CCCGGAATGTGGCTATTCCATCATTGACGACAGATCCTTCTATTACAAGATAATAGATGTTTCGCCCTTTGAAGATGTCTTCCCTTGATCCTGAAATATAAGGTGAGAAGTCTGATAAGGACACGTTCACGTAAAAGTGGACAGGAGGATCCAAAAAATAAGGTAGATTGATATGAATCCCGTACATACCGGTATGTGTTGAAGTTCCCGACTGGATTTCAGACTTGTACTAATGAATGTGGAATGGAGACTTCCGGGTTCCCGTGAGCCGAGCCCCATTCATTAGTACAAGTCTGAAATCCAGTCGGGAGCTTCAACACATAGATCTACCGGGTATGTACGGGATTCAGACGGGATACAGAGGGACCATATAGGTAACCGAAAGTAGCCGTCTGTAAGCCTTCGGACTAGGACAGGTTGGCCGTTGGGTATCCGGACAGAGGTTTTTTCAATGCTCATTTCATCAACAACATGAAATGCAATATTCTATAAATTTTTAGAAAATTATTGATGATAATAATTTAGAAAGGGCAAATATTCACAATATTTACCACTACTGTAAAAGTGGATATTTTCGCGCGATTAATTTTTCGCGCTCAGCCAACTCAGATGAATTTCGCGGGTTTTTAATTTCGCGAAGAGTCGGGGACCATTTCGTAAAATTACTCGTACAACGCCCATCTCACCGCTGCCACACACGCTATACCGTTCACAATTGTATGTGACTGTGTGCACAATTGACTTGCACTCGTTTACAACGGCAGTAAGTAGTACATTCACGCTGAGTACAAGTACAACTTTAGACGAACAAACGTGACAAAAACTAGCATTAACATCGCCTTTATACCCCCAAATATCACCTACCTACCTTGAGGTCAAAGATGAAAATTATGTGACTTAAATTTTGCATGGTAGAGAGAGATTTTTAAAAGGAGCCATGCAACCAGAGATCGGTGCATCGACTAGAATCAAATGCACAGCTCTAGCTAGTGCTGCTGATCTGGCTAGGCACACGTGAAATGCATTGTTGTTGTTCTCGGAGACGCGGACATTCGATCGCTCTGCACAGCTAGCTACACGCATGCATCTATGGCATGCAATGCACACGCTCCATTACTAGTACATATGTATGAAGCTAGCGATGCTGGTTTACACAATATAATACTAGGCCTACTATTCAACACAGCAAACCGGGCAAAGCATGATGAACGCATGGTACATAGTAGTACCTGCACGTTCGTCGCGCGCACACTGGTAATACAAGCGCGCATTAAGGGCGCGCCGACGCGTTATGTTCGAGCGCAAACAAAAAAAATGTAAACAAAAATATTCGCGCATTTTTATTTTCGCGCCATTCTCGTGTTGCGCGAAATGCGCGAAAATTTTCACACCGCGAAATATTCCACGTTTACAGTATTTGATTAATATTTTTCGCAAAATCAAAGGGAAATCGTGACAGCTTTATTTTTGTTAAGTGTCCGGACACCCACACATGGGAGAATGTAGTACAATGTCAATGGTAACTCAACGCAGTGTACAGCGTTATGCACGCGGGTCTTTTTTATTCACAGCCTTTTTAGAAATAGCGTTATCGACTCGGCGCGCGTGTGTATTGCCAATGTAAAGTCGGCAATATTTTAAGCCCTCTATTGGCACAAAAATGTCAACAGGTTTTTGCAAGTCTGCCTCGCAAGTGGTCAATATACTATCTTGTAGATCTAGTTTATTTACCACTTGCTTAGCAGGTGTGCCGGACACCCAACTCCCATCCTACGTTTTTAGATCCAAGGACCAAAGACAAAGTCCAGAGACCAAACCACGTGTGTGAGAACGTTTGGCATTTTCGATCTTGTAGATCATTAAATAGACCTAGTCCTAGACTAGACTCTAGTCTAGTCTAGAGTCTACTAGATTCTACTAGAGTTTTAGACCGATTAAATCTGTCTCTGTTTTGGGGGGCCTAGTATTTACAGTACGGTCATTAATCGGGCGGCCCTCCCCGTTAATGACCGTACTGTAAATACTAGGTCCCCCAAACATAGACCGAAGGCTCCGGCCGTGTGTGTCGCTCTCAGTCATTAACATACGGACATTCTCTTTTTACCCTCTCTCCACTCAGAGGGTAAAAAGAGAATGTCCGTATGTTAATGACTGAGAGCGACACACACGGCCGGAGCCTTCGGTCTACCCCAAACAGAGACAGATTTAATCGGTCTAGCTTACTTTACTAGAGTTTAAGCATAAATTCTCGAGTTCTATCCGACTTAAATCTCATCGTGGTGATCACCAACAAACTCAATTCTTAATACTATAAACACTACATAGTACATTGAAATTCTTGTTATAATACCTAACGAAAAAGAGACTTTAATTGACAATCGACTTACCCAATCCAATTCAAATCACAGGCAGGCCCAGGCTCAGCTCACGAACGAACTTCGCAGGTATGTACTGCATGCATTATGTACATAGATCAGACTACACTATGAACATGACAGACAATAAAAGCGGACAAAATATACAGTTCCTCAGGTAGACAAAGGGACAGCCCTTCACTGCTATTATGTAAAAATGTGTAGAACAGGTGTCACATGCATATTCACCTGTTCTACACATTTTTACATAATAGCAGTGAAGGGATGTTCCTTTGTTTTCCTGAGGAACTGTATATTTTGTCCGCTTTCATTGTCTGTCATGTTCATAGTGCTAACTAGATAACTTCTATGCTGCACTGTACATGTACGTACGTACACATCATGGTAAACATGCACAATTAATGCATGGCGCGCGCGTGCGAGTGCAAGCAGCTAGCAAGCTATAGCTGGCGCTGGCCCGGCGCGCCCGGCCGGTTCGTTCTGATCTGATCGATCGCCATGCATGCATATATGGGCGCGAACGAAGTGCACGCATGCATGTTACACGCTATCGCTAACGGTAACAAAAAAGTTGGCGGCAAGAAAAAAGAAAAGAAAGAAAAAATAAAATAAAAAAACAGAAATCTGAATAAGATATGAAAGCACTATTAAAACTTCCTGTTAGAAAAAAGAAAAAAAGAATAGAAAAGAAGAAAAAGAAGAAGATTAAGAAGATGCAGAAAAATTACGGTACCGGTATAGTTACAGTTTCAGTTCGTGGGAGTTCGTGTTGTTTTTATGGCATAAAAAAAAAAGATTTCTGAGAGGTCTACATGAACTTTGAAGTATATATATAATTATGCCTAGCCTACTAAAATTTAGGCCTATATAAAGCATAACCTCTGATAAAAGCAGACTAATTTCCGGTAAAAACGAAATCTTCTTTCCCTTTTAAATGTGCCCGAATTCGGCAGCTTGAGTCAATTAACAGAAAGGTTTTGTATTTTTACCGCAAATTATTTTACGTTTTGAGTTTAAGGCATTAAAAGGCAGTTAAGGTCTTTTTTTTTTTAAATTGAAAAGGGTATTTTGTAGAACATTAAATATCTATAGGGGATCTGAATGTCCTTGAAAAAAAACCCTCATCAACTTCTTTTTTAGATTTCTGTCAAATTGCAGTGAAATTCAGCTATTAATTTTACAGAATTGTTTACGGTATTTTCCTCTATAAATTCTGTCTTTTTTATTCATTAAACTAAATGAGATTGCTTTGAATAAATCGACACTTTGTAGAATTAAAAGCAAAATCTGCTTAAAAACATAGGCCTACGAATTTCCATAAAGAAAAAAACAATCCTTTTTTTAGAGAGGGAGAGAGATCCGTCCTTTTCACAGCAGAAAATGTCAAGTAACATTAATTATCAGAGTGGTTCTGTATTATTGTTTCCTGTATTTTTTTTATTCATTAAAACATGAGGTTTACTTTGAATAAAAAGACACTCCATTTATTTACATGGGATCTTCTTTTTAGAGATCTGTTAAATTGCAGAAAGTTTCTAGTTTACATTTTTACAGAATGAATCTGTATTTTAATTTCTGTAGATTCTTTCTTTTTATTCATTAAAACATGAGGTTTACTTTGAAAAAAAAAACGCTCTGTAGAATCATAATAAATCTGCATATTGGATCTGAAAGCATACAGAATTCCTATTTAAAAAAAACATCTCCCCTTCTTATAGAAATCTGTCCTGTTAAATTGCAGAAAATTCCAGTTACATCAATTTACAGAATGGTTCTGTATTTTTGTTTTCTGTAATTTCTTTTTTATTATCCGTTAAAAAATGAAGTTTTCTTAATAAAAAAAGAACATTCCGTAGAATTGTAAAAAATCTGTATATGGGATCTGAAATCACGCAAATTGCCTGTAAAAAAACAAAATCTTCATTTTTTTCTAGACATTTGTCCTGTTAAATTACAGAAAATTTGCTGTTACAACACTTTAAAGAATGGTTCTGTATTTTTTTCTCTGTAAAATCTACTGTTTTTTTTAACAGTGTGGCTTCACTGTACTGCAGTGCACTGCCACTGGGCGGCACGAGTCCAAGGCCTAGATTCTACCAACTACCTAGTTTTCTTTTTCTTTTCTTTTAGGCCCAATTCTTCTTCAAAATCTCCATTTCATCTTCTTCTTATTTTTCATTGTTTACAGACTATATTCTAGACAATAAAACAATGTAGATCTAAATAATTCTTTGATTTAATGCTGGTAAACCATGCAAAAGGAAAGGCTTTCTGTGCGATAAAAGCGAGCGAAACTTAGTTTTGTTCGAGAAATATTTCACGACCACCAGCATGACACGGCGCGGCAAGTCAGGCCGGGCCGGCCGCGGCCCGAGTGCTCTCGCGAGGCTCAGCGATAGATTGCTGAAAGTTGTGCAATCGCAGACCGAGGCAGGCAGCCAGCAGCGCGGGCAAATGATTCGTTTCAATCTAATTTAGTGGAAATTTGGGGTTGATATTCCATATTACGTAGCGTGAAATTAATACAGATATAAAATGTCAACATTCTAATCGTAAAATGTCCAAATACAGCTTCGACATTGATATTTACAACAACAAAAAAAGAGAGAAGAAAACTTCACATACCGACCACCATGCGAAGAACCAGCTGCTATACCGAGTGGCCAAATAACCTACACGTTATGACGTCATCAGAAACGGGTAGAAACGGCCACCGGCTAGCGCAGCCGAAACTAAATCTCCGGGGTGCCCCTCTCAAATCCGTGAATCCGGGGTTTCGGATGATAAATACTTCTTTCAGAGGCCGTGGAATCTCGAGAAGTTTGCATTTTCATATTCAGTAAATATTCACGAGTCCGTAGGTATGTAATTTGTCTATATAATTTTCTGCTCCGGTCAAGGTCTTTAATTGGAAACCCCAGCTTCGTCAAGATAGATCACCAGCTATATTGCCATTATAACGCAAGTGTGACGAGTCAAAAATTGCCACGTGAGTGTAAGGATCAGGTAAGGATATACATGTAGGTCAATCATACGAAAAATATCAAACATGAATTATTATAGATCAGTTCTGGTTGGTTCATTATGGCAATATCTGACAACTCTTCCAACCGTACGTTTCCTATTCAAAAAGCAAAGGTATGAATATTCATGACTCTCATTGGGCTATTCGATTGTTTACAGAGGAGTGCAATCATACACCACTTCAAACTCCTCTAATTTCAACTAAGTATTGTACATAGTTTGATTGATTATTTTACTGACTCTTTACTTATCGAATATCAATGATAGTTTAATGATATGAATATTGTTTGTTGTTGTTAATATTCAAGATAATTCACATAAAATGATATATTCTCAAATTATTTAATCACAATCAAGTGTAGTCTGTTACGTTCAAGGCACATTTCTGGTTTGGACTGTGACATAGACAGTCATTGTATATTTATGTTTAGCCACCTGTCATGTAGTAAAGTTTGAATTATTGTCACACACACACACACACACTAACGCGCACAATACACGAACCCCACACGCACAGACGCACTAACTCACTCACACATTGTCTCTCACCCTTTCCCCCACACACACCCTTTCCGCACACCCGATTGACTCCAAAAGAGAAATCAATAATGATTTTATCAAGCTGTTTTTTGCAACTTGTTACCATACAAAGGAGGTAAATGTAAATAATGCACGCTTTGACTAACATGAATCCACATAATCACATAAAAGAGCAAAGTAATAGAATATGAATAAAACATCTTGCAAACAAAATAAGTTAAAATCTGGCATTGTATCGCACCCAAAATTTCGTTAATAAATCTATTTACCTTTGTTATTCTTACATTTGTTAGCAAATAATTAAATAGTTGGAAGCAATTGATTATACAAAATAACTAAAAAAATAACTCTCAAAATACTCATATAATGGTGTCCCCTCGTTTTACAGAGCATCAAGGTAGACATCTTTTGGTTGAAGATTCAAGAACTACATTCTTCTTCTTCAATTACCATTAAACAAAAATAACGCATTGATCTAGCCGTTACAGCGTAATTAAACACATACCACATATAAAATATAAGTGTCGATGTTAATACCCAAGAAATACAAAAGTACGGCGAGTAGGCATATTTAGAGTACATATACATAATAATAATAATAGCTCACATTCATAATGCGTCTAATACTTTGTTTCTAGGCACAGAACACATTATTACCCCGGTCGTCGGATTCACGTTTGCCCGCACACAATGCATGCAGATTCTCCACTGCCTAGGGAGCTTTCCAACCAGGCGTCATTTTGACAAACGCACACTTGCTCATCTTAGGGTACGTTTATGCTCAGCTTTTTCTGGCCAGAATGAGGCAACTGTTACGCGTTTAGTTAAAAACACGGTTGCGTCCTTTCTCATTTTTGTAGATTCACCGAAAAACGGCGATCGTAAACTCACAAAAAGGTGCGTTTACGATCGGCGATTCTGGGGAAGCATAAACGCGTTTAAATGGGGTCAACGCACTGACCTCTAGTGGGTCTACGTAGCATGCGCAGTGCAGGTTTGCGAATCCAGCTGCAAGGTCACCCAGCCAGAATTGCCTGGAGGAGCCAAAGTAGTGAGCATAAACAGTACACCGTGGAACTGCGATTACGATGAGCGTTTCAAATCGCTCATTCTGCCTTGAAAACTGAGCATAAACGTACTCTAAGCACATTAAGTTTCGCATCCTACCGGGTACCCATTGAACACCTGGGTGGAGAGTGGCAAATGTAGATTAACGTCTTGCCAAAGGACATTAGTGCCGTGTCGGGGATCGAAATAAACAATTACATGAAAGTGTCCAGTGTATTCCACATATTACAAAGAACAACATTATTTTAGAGTCATACAACTCAGTATATGTATAATAATAATACTCATTATTAGCAGCTATCTTTGTAGTACTGCACGGGTCATATATAATATCTACTTGATATTACAAAGCTTGAACTGTAAATGCGCACTTCAAATATGGCAAGAAATGGTAAATAATAACGACGATAATTGAAACGTCTGGGCATGAACGTTACAGTCTCAAGTAGAATTTGATGTCTAAATGACAGTACACCACGAGTCCGTGACTAAATTACATATAGATAAGCGTTCGATTATCGGCACTATACATGCACAAGTCAGTGAATAAATTTCATCCCAAATTAGGGGAATCTTATTCACCTTTGCATCCCGCAGCTCTCACTGGTACTATTTTTGCAGTGTAGATTTTTTCCCCCAAAAGCTTGAGTTTGTTCAGATCCACTCTTTAATGGCCACTTCAAAGCTTTAAACTCAAGGCCAATACAGACTAAACAGCAAGTACCTGCATCTGAGAGGAGAGAAACCCTTCCAAAAGTGACCAATTAATCAGCTTCTCTCGATCAAGTTCAGTGAATTTCTTTATCAGTTCTAGTGCACCAAGTCTACCTGCGTCTAATCAAAATGAGTAGGTTGATAAGAAACATATGCAAAGTATCAACTACAATATTTGAGATGGATCTTTCCTGGTGAGAGCATCATTTATTTCGTTATGTTCAAATATGGCGATGAGATAATTAATTATGCTGACGACTGCATCTTTCTCGTTAAAAACGGTAAATAAAGCGTTCACAACTCGCAGATTCTTACCAACCCATGTATCACCCCAATGTAATTCTATTCTAGTTTCACCTCCTTCTTGTAAGATATATCACGTAATAACTGTTCTAAATGTGTCAAAGTCAAAGAATTTGACCCACAAATTACAGAGCTATGGCTGTTTTAAAATGGCAAAGGATGTCCATTTTAGGGTCAACATTCCTGTATATGGCGATGAGATAATAAACTATGCTAAATGTAGATACTGCATCTTTCAAAATGGTAAATAAAACTTTCACAAAGACAACCAATGTCATACTGGCTATTTGTCTTTTAAGTTTGGGCGCGGCCAGGGGTACTCGTATGTCCTTTGTATGAGGAAGAATAATTACGAACACCCAAACCCTTTTTTACCAGTGTGTTCATTGTTCCGAAAGCTAAGTGTTTTGCTCCGAAGGGGTGGGCGTGGGAATTGAATAGCCCATTTTCGTTTCTGAATGTTTTCTTCTTCCGCACTTGAATCCGAAGATTTCTAAATCAGAAAGATAAATAATTCATAAGTTCTTAATTCCGAATGCTCGTCATTTCAAATGATGATATAAGTCGAAAGATGAAATATCGGGCTCTCTCTTCCGAAACGAAGAGATAACTTTTAATTTTGATAATTGCAAACCTCGGTTCAAAGTAGAATGAACCCTTAGTCATTTTGAAAATTCGAATAAACGAACCTTTGAAAGTACCAACCTTCGGAACGAAACGGTGCCAGATTATTGTACCTTTCCTTCGACCCATCCGACCCTGCAAGTGAAATTTCTGTCAGGCATCGTCTACAGGCTACTGTAGAAGATATGAGGTCATGGATGCTCATAAATAGGTTGAAATTAAATGAGAGTATAATAAAAACAGACTTGCTTATACTTCTAAGTCGCAACATCATTTGATCAAGGACCGTAATACTAATATACAGATTGGTAACTCCCAGATTCGGGCTGCTCCATCAGTTCGAAATCTCGGTGCTATATTTGACATCAACATGTGCATGGATGCCCACGTGAAATAAATCTGTCAATCAGTGTATACTATTATAACATCCATAATGTTAATAGCATTCGAAAAGTCATTGACCATAAGTCTGCTGCTTTGCTTATACATGCATTTGTTTTATCTCGATTAGATATTGGCAATGCTCTTCTTTTCAATATTACTTCACGCAATCTTGACGAACTTCAACGTGCTCCGAATGCAGCTGCCAGGGTTTTATCAGGGACATCTAAATATGATCAAATTTCTCCTGTTCTCAAAAAACTGCACTGGTTGCCAATCCGCAAGCGCATATAATTCAAAATCCTTCTCCTCACATGGAAGGCTGTAAACGGATTAGCACCAAACTATTTACAAAACCTTGTTATGCCTTATACACCAGCTCGTAGTCTAAGATCATCACACCAGCATCTTCTTAAGATCCCAAAGACACGAGTAGCCGGTGGTGAAGGGGCTTTTTCATCTGCAGCACCTTGTCTTTGGAATAATTTACCATTTAATTTGAGAATCATAACTTCCTTAGAGACCTTTAAATCCAAGCTGAAATATTATCTTTTTTTAATAATACCTGTACTTGGCACTATGACACTCATCCGAACTTTCTCGTCCAAACTTTCTCATTCTTTCTACTTTTCTCGTGCGCCTCGGAATAGCATTGTCTAGATAGACGGCGCTATACAAATGCCTATTATTATTATTATTATTATTATCCATTATTCTACCAAAGCGGGAGCATTAACGTGAAGGTTAATGTGATAAGGATCGATATCAAATTAATAGTCTGATTGCCTTGTATATTGCCTATCAAATTAATCACCTTGTTTCTATCGTAACGTGCATTTCAACAACACAAATGGTGGATGGTATAAAAATATATATTTTAATGCTATCCCATAATTTCGATCCACTCTGCCTTTTTTAATCTGTCTGTTAATATCGATCCCGTTTTCATACGAACTTACCGCCCGCAGAAAAGAAAAAAAAGTATCATTTATCATTTACAATTGGTCGAAGGAAGATATCAAGTCATATGTCTTTTCCGATTTCAATTGATCTCCGTTGATCGATCGCTATAGCTTACAATTTGAATATTACGGTTAATATTTCCCGCCTCTCTGTAAATCAAGCAACTTTATTCTTCGCTTCCGGATTTGTTATTTTTATTATCCGAGAAAGACGTCAGGTTATCATCGTGCTTGAAGCCCTTGAAGATTGATCTGTAAAATGGTAAGTATTTTATGTTTTTATTTC